AGGAAGTAATAAGCCAGAGAAATCGCCACATCACCCGTCAGACCAAAAAAAGCCTATTTTGTGCTTATTTCTTAGCAAAACCTTGCACTTCCAAGACAGGAGCATCCCCGGGCTTAAAGCTGCTGATTTACAGGCACGCCGTGTGTTTAGGTGAGCCAGGCAAATAAATAATTAAGATTTAAATACACGTTTGCAAAATACAGATAATCCATCAATTTAACTTGTAAATGCGGTTGGAATTAAGCGGCGACTTTGTTAATGAGGTAGCAAAGGGGGCTAGGGAAGCCCCGGCTCCACAGCAGCTGCTGAAGGACTGTAAGGATGCTAAAGCCAAATTTGCCGGGGGATGCAGGGGCTCGGCAGCGTCGGGGCAGGTTTCATCCTCCCCCCACCCTAGGTTTTATCCTCCCCTCACCCTAAGGCGGTGCCGGGGCGCCAAACCCTTGTGTTCACCCATATTTTTTATTGCAAAAGCTCCCCCAGCTCCCCCAAGCCCTTCACCAGCACCAAAAGCCACAAGGGCTGCCATCGCCCCACCATAAGAAAAAAAAAGAGCAGAGGAAAAAGGGCCTGGGGTGATATTTTTGAGGACAAATCGCAATTTTTTTTGCTGTCACATCAACAGCTTGCTTTGAAAGCTGGGCTCTGGGCCACCCTCTCTCCCCCCACCCCGAATACCAGCGCTCGCTACCCAGAGGCAGCCTGCGAGGGCAACCTGTTGAGCCCCCATGTGCACGAACAGACCGTTCTTTGTGATTATTTTTTTTTCCCCGTCTATTTTTTGTCTTGAAGCGGCGCTGGTTATCACACAGGGGTGGGCCCGAGGACTTCCCAGCCCTCGGTGCAGCTCCTGACGCCTTGTTCTCCGCTTTAACCCCGCGCCGGGACGGCAGCATCACACCGAACCCCTAAAGCCCTTTGCTCCCCCTTAATCTTTGACACCATCCCCCCATCCCTGCTCCTCCTTCGGTCCTCCCCAATCCACTTGCATCCCCTCTCTCTGCATTTTTCCCCCTTATTTCTCACTTTCCACCCCATTTTTCCCCACGATGCCCTGGCGCTCGCCTCCATTCCCAACCCAGGCGGGTCCGCATCCATCCTCGCGCTATAAAATCCCACCCCACGAATCCCACGCCGGGGGGGTTGGATGAGCCCGACAGCCACGGAGCTGCCGGGACGGGGTTTGAATACCTGGGCAGAGGTGGTTTATTACCTGCCACGGGGCTGCTCGGCTGGCCGCGCGCCTACAGCATCAGCAAAGCAGCCCCCCAGAGCAGCAGCATTAAAGCATCCTCAACTCACGCTCGGTGCTTTCCTGCCTTAGTTTCCCCTCATTTCGGGGCTCCGGGAAGCTCTGCCCCGGTCGGTGGCACAGGCAGGGGATGCAGCAGGGACCCTGAACCCCAAACTCCAGCCCAGCTCGTATATTTTAAAAGGAAATTAAAAAAACCACCCAATGGAAATGTCGCAAGCGGCTCAAAACCCGAGGCAGGATCGGAGCCGGGGCTCCAGCTTGTGCAAGCCCATGGGGTGAGCTGCAACCTCTCGCCACCAGCACCGCTCTCTGGTTAAAAATACCGAGGCCGGGCTGACTCAGCCCGGCTGGATATCGGGATGCCGAATCCGTCCGGGAAAACTTTGGTGAGGCTGCCGGCGAGCTGGGGGAGACATTTTGCAAAGGGAAGAGCCGAAGCAGGGAACGGCATCTGGAAGCGATCGGAGGCAAGGAGCCTCTCCCAGGCGCAGTGGGGAATTCCAACGGCGTGAGCTCAGGTTAAAGCCTCCTTCGCAGACCCAGGATTAAAGAAAAAACCAAACAAGCTTCAGCGCATATATTTTTAAACCTGCAAATAACGAAGGAAAGGAAGCCAGCTCCCTGCTCGGTCCTACCTGAACACGGCTTTGTGATTGAGGTTGATTCTGGTTGGCAATAAAAACACGCCCAAAAAAACCCAAAAAAGAGGAGAAATCTCTCCATAGATTTGTTGGTATCGCTTTGCAGGCGTGGCGTCGGGAGGAGAGTCCTCCTCCGGCACTGCGATGTCTAAATCCACCTCGCTTGCATCACGATGCACCCCTGCACCATCCATCCCAGGGCACCGCTGTATCCCACCTCCGAGCATCCCTCACCAGCACGGGCTGCATCCCACAATGGTCCTTGGGCGGCAGCGGCTCAGCACACCTGGGAGCATCCCAGCATCCTCGGGATGGCATTGACGAGCCGAAGGAGGATGCCATCGATGAGCCAAAGGAGGACGCCATTGAACAGCCAATGGAGGGAGCCAT